GTCCATAGATGAAAGCGGCTTCCTTATTCCAAAGACAAATAGGATCTTTCTGAAACTGAAATCAATTCTTAAACTCTTCCTTCCTGAACCTTTCCCTGAATTAGCAACCACCATAACTTTTTGAGACCCAGCTCTATGTCCGGCCTTATTGACTATGCTATTTCTAATCCTCATAACAACTGGATGAAATGGTTGTCAATTTACTTGTTTTCTAGATGAGAGAACTCGGTAAATAATTCCCACAAAGACACCCATGAGTAAAAGAAGGAGCCAAGATTAGACAAACGGGACAAGTCCAAAGCCTAGACTCTTCCTTTACATATCTCTTTTGTTCAGAAGTTATATTGTTAGAACACAGTGCCAGATAAACCAAGTAAGAAACTTAGTAGCTTCATGTTGTCTATTTGTTCACTTTTTAGGATAATCAATTGGTGAAACATCAATAATACAGGAATCCAAAAGTTTTGCAGTTCTAACGTAGACCAACAACTACTTGACAAAACAACACTGCAGAGGAAGAACAGTGGAGCAAAAGATGGTGGAAGGCCAGTGGGATATCCGTATGGAAGACAGGGAATCTGCTTCCATTCCTCACATCACCCAGAAAGATCTTTCACAAGTGGATCTACATGTAGAAAGCAAAACAACTTATTTGTGAAAGATAACATAACAGAGAATATATTTATTGCCTTGGGGAAGTAAAACTTTTCTGAAATAGGACACAAAATATGCTAATGTTAAAATGAAAGGTTTATCAATAAAAACACAAACATTTGCAAATTTTCAAAATTTGAGCAGGCTCTTCAAAAAAGAATATTCAAATGGCCAATAAACATATTAAAAGGAGTTTAAATACCTTAGTGACCAAAGAAAATGCAATATAATACCAAGGTATACCAGCTAGAAGAGCTGAAATTTAATAGGGTCACAATATTGGAAGATGACAAAGAAGTGGAGCTACTTGGATGCATAGAATACTAATATACTAATAAGAGTGTAAATTAGTACAATCTTCTTGGGAAAATGTCCACTAATGGTGCGTCTCTTCAAATGACGCATTCCTGAGATCTATCCCACAGAAATAATGGACTTGGACATTTATATGAATATGTACATGAGAATTACAAGAAACACATGTACACAAATGTTCATCTCAAAGTTCATGAAAACCAAAATCTGAAGCCCAAGTGTCTGCCAACTACAGAGCAGGGCAATAAGCTGTGGTATAAATACTACACAGCTATGAGAATGAATGTCCCACGTAACATGACTGTGTTTCATAAAAGCAAATCTTCAGCAAAAACCAAATGCCATAATATTGTAGAGTCCATTTAGGTAAAGTTTAAAAACAATGAAAATACGTTGTGGAAATGGAACCAAGATTTCGGTTGCCTTTAGAGAACAGAATGAGGCCAGACTCAGAGGAAACTTCTAGAATGGAGGGAGTGTTCTGGGGTTTACTTGCTGGGCGGACCTTCTCCCAGCTGTGCATTTACAACTTGTGCACTTTTGCCAGGGTGCTACTCTTCAGAAGAGGCTGATTAAAAATAAGAGAGAAAATAGCTAGAGAGATAAATGTTATAAATAGAAAGGGGGAGGGGATGAGAAAGGGTAGGAGGAGACAAAGTCAGAGGGAGAATAAGGACACAGCCAGCTCTGGGGACCAGGAGGACAGTGAGGAGACAGGAAGAACTAACACTGTTTCAGGAGCAAAAATAAAATGAAACGCTCAAAAAGGTTGTTGTTAAAGTTGACAGATAAGTGTTTCTGGAAACACAGGAGGAGGAGGAGCAAACCAATCCAGGAAGTAAGGGATGGATGCATGGCTGAGTGAATCAACATTTGATGCAGGCTTAACCCATGTCCGACACTATTAATGGGGAGCTTCCAGGAAAAAAGAAAAGAAAGCAGAAGACGAGAGCAGTGTCGTGTTTCTGAGATGGCCAGGCAGCAGGCTGAATCCAGGAGGCCTCAAGTGTTTATCACATACACAGCCAGAGTGTCAAACTTGTTACTCACGTAAGGGGAAACCAATCCGATCTGTAAAGAGGCACAAGAGAGGCCAGTCGTCTCTTAGCTCGGAGCAAACTCCTCTCAGAAGGGTTGCATTCGCTAAGGCAGCCATAACGAAGCACCACAAACTGTGTGGCTTAAAACAATAAAACTATATTTTTCTATATCAAGGTATCAGCAGGGCAGTGCTCTCTGACAGCTCCGGGAGGAAGTTTCTGTTGCCTGTTCCAGCTGCTGCCATTTGCCAGCAACCGTTGGTATTTCTTCGCTTGTAGATGCCACTCCAAGCTCACGGCCATCATGTCCCTGTGTGTCTTCACATGACTGTCTTCTTATAGTTACATCAATCCTATTGGGTTAAGGACTCCCCCTAATCCACTATGACCTCATCTTAACTAATTACATCTGCAATTCCCCTCTTCCCATTCTAAGACACTGGGGGATAGGACTTCAACTTATCTTTTTAAGGGGGAAAAACTCAACCCCTAACAAGGGTACATACAGGGTTGCAACAACTAGTAACCAAATCTCTTAGGAGAAGGTGTGCATAGGTTGTTTTCCTGATGCATGCTGAACTGTGTTCTCAGGTCCTTTCACCCCAACATATGTTCCAGTAGCTAAAGAGCTAGGACCCAGTGCATCCAGGAAGTAGATAAGACTACTGAACGACAACCCAATTGTATGTACTCTTGTGCTCCAGCTGCTATGACTGCTCCACAAATGATCCCAAAACTTCACGCTGTAAAATTACCACTCAGGAGGCTCACAGATCAAAATAGTATGTATTGCTGTGTTTCTTCTGTACTCTCAGGTGTTGCACTGAAGGCAAGGGCCTTAGTCATCTCACCCTGCTCCTGTCCTGTGTGGCATCTTTTCTACCGCACACTATTTATTGCTGCAGTCACGAAGTCCAGCCCAGCTTCAAGGGAAGGAGAGAGAGGCCCCAACTCTCAGTGGCAGTGACACGGTCTCCAAGGGCACGTGGGCCCAGAAACATGACTTTGGCTGCTTTTGGAAAAGGCTATCTACCACCTTTCAATAAGGTAGCACTGAGGAATCCGACTTGTTCAACAGACACAATAGCCTCAGCTGAATGGATTACAGAATCCAAAGAGCTGAATGCCAAGACTAATACATACAGGACAAGATTTCAGAACTTCCTACAGCCTTGCCTTGGTCAAGTTTCTGCTGACTACATTATTTCAAAGCAGTAGTCATTTCCTTAGGTGTTGGATTACAAAGCAGTGAGCAGTAGAGCTCAGTAAGCACTCTCTGAACCCATTTGAATTGGAAATCTGTGTTTAGGGAAGAAATTTCTTTGAGGCATATTGAAGTGTTAAAAAGGAAAACCTCCCTTTGTTTCTTGAGATCTCACTTTAATGATAGTGATTTACTGAGTAATATGATACATACTAATTTAAAACAAAATAGATCCCGAGAACCTGTTGGTGTTGACAAAAGAATAAGGCAAAACATCACGACTTTCCAACAGGCATTCCAGTGCTTCTCTATTCAGATACCTTGAAGAAGAATACATTACCCACTCACAAGATAGCAGCGTTTTAAAGATATTTTGTTGCTTTAGACAGGAATGCTCTTAACTTGAGGTTCTCTTTTTATAAAATGGAAAGTTTTTGTTTACAACATTAACAGGAACAAAATGTTCCTTCGTAAAGTTCAAGGAAAAGGGCAAAAAGAACATTCAGGAAACAACGGAAAACTATCCTGAACATAAGGCATAGGAGCTGATACAGGCAGTCACAGAGAGAGCCTGACAGACAGTCAACAGAACACTAGGGAGTCGCAGACCCACACACAACAGAACACCAGGGAGCCACAGACCCACACACAACAGAACACTAGGGAGTCGCAGACCCACACACAACAGAACACCAGGGAGCCACAGACCCACACACAACAGAACACCAGGGAGCCGCAGACCCACACACAACAGAACACCAGGGAGCCGCAGACCCACACACAACAGAACACCAGGGAGCCACAGACCCACACACAGCAGAACACCAGGGAGCCGCAGACCCACACACAACAGAACACCAGGGAGCCGCAGACCCACATGGAAAACCAACGAGAAAGAGAGGAGGACCTTGTGAAAGAAAACAATGTATTTCTACAGGGACAAAGTACAGCAAGAAGGCAGCTTTGGGTATAACTTAGAGCCTCCAAGATTCTGGGAAAGAGAGTAGGGCAGGAAACCATACATGACAAGGGAAGGCTGACCCAAGAGGGATGGAGCAGGAATCAAGATGGGGTGGGGGCAGGGGGTTGGAGGGATTTCAGAGACAGAATTGACAGAATCCAGTGACAAGGAAAGAGAAGTAAAAACTAGCTTTCTGCTGGAAGAACTGAGTGGGATGTGGTATGTACACTGATCCTGGGAGCCCCAGAAGAGGAGACTGAGGAAGGGGTACCAGACAGTCCATTTGGACAATGTTCTCTTGAGTGGTACTACCATTGACCATACCTAATGGAGAAGCAGCTGAGCTGTTAACTACGTGCATGTGGCTCTCAGAAGAGAGGTCTGTGCTCCCTACATGTTTGGTGATACCAACTACATAGAACAAAACCTTGTGTTTTTTTTTTTTAAGATTCGTTTATTTATTTGAAAAGCATAGTAACAGAGAGAGAGGTCCATCTGCTCATTCACTCCCTAGGGCCACAATGGCCAGAGCTAGGACGGCTGAAACCAGGAGCCAGGAATCAACTCCCACTGCTTTTCCAGGAGCATCAGCACCAGAAGTGGAGCAGCCAGTACTCAAACAGCACTCCTGTGAGATACCAGCGTTTCAAGTGGCGGCTTAACCCGCACACCGCAACACCAGGCCCCAAAGCCCCGTGTTTAAGAAAACTACGATGGCAGAGGGAGTTGTACACAAGCCTCTACGAAAAGCCAAAGTGACTGTAAAACGTTTCAATTCTTCATTTTCTGTTTCTCTTTGGTGGAGGCCACTGATTCACATTTTAGAGAGAGAGAGAGAGAGAGAGAGAGAGAGAGAGAGAGAGAGAGAGAGAGAGAGAGAAAAGAAAAACTGTGACCTAGGGATCAACTCTGAAGCAAAGTCAGTCTCCAAGGGTTTGCAGTGAAGGCTCCAGGGGACAATCCACAGTGATCACTTAGCCCAGCTGCGACTCTGTAATTGCTCATTTATGGAGTTGTAATACCATCAGAGCAGACACAGGCAAAATACAGTTTTCCACCAGGTTCTCCTAGGATGCATAATATGACTGACGATTTGATTTTTCTCAGTATTTTTACAGGTTCATTAAGCTTTTAAAAACATAAATACGAAAAGGCAGGGTTTTGTTATTTGTTTTCTTAAGTAATGAAAATCTTGTAGGTGCAATTTATATTGCATAGCCTCTGCACTGAAAACAAACACCTTAAATTAGTTTTGTGTGAAATATGACAGAGTACCTGCTAACAGTGAACATTCAATCACATGTCACAACAATAATTGGTACAAATTACATTTCACATTACCTCTCCTTATGCCACTACAAGTACCCGTTTTATTCCAGATGCAGTCAATCAATGCATCGCTCACTAACTCAATTACAAAGCTCACGTAACAAAATCAAAAGCAACTGGGATTTTCATTATTTTTCTGACTCCAGTTTAGCAGAATCCTCTAATACATGTAGACTGTGCATCTTTGTTTGCCATCAAGATAAGTCACCAACTAAGTCTGGAATCAGGCTCTAAGAACAAAACAGGAAGATTTCCACACTGCTCAGAACAATCACATGAACAGCGCGATGAAGCCATCTTTCTCCTGCCATTTCCATATCGCAGATCCGACAGATGACCTTCAAAGGAAAATCAAGAATTAGTTTCAGAGAACCTGCCATGACTTCCTGTTGACTAACCCCAAATAAGCACTGCCTCTCTCTAAGCTTGCATAAGGATAGAAGTGACGAGCAAATAGCAAAGACCAGAGCAAGATGACCCACTTCTCTGGGCCAGGGGTCACCTAGGCTGAATGCGCAAGTTCATACCAACTTGACTTATGAAAGGGGGTGGGGGAACAAAAAAGCAAATTGTTTTGTTTAAGGAAAATTTCACCAGATTTTAATTCCCTTCCACAGATGCTTCCTTTTTTCACGCTAACATCGCATCAGGGCAGCCATCATGTAGCAGCCTCAGCCTCTCCATCTTCCGGTTTCTCCTCCGGAGCTTGTCCCAGAACAGAGGCTATCCTGTTTCCCACTGGCCCTGTACATCAAATCAAGGAGTAAAAGCAAATAATAAATAGGACCATATTGAGGAACGTGGAGTCTTACCCAGGTCTCAGCCCCTACGTAGCTGCCCTGGTCTCCTCCAGTGACCTAAGCCTGTCACTAGAAACTCTCTCTCACCCACCTTGCTCCACAATACTGGATCACATCTCTGCCTTGCAAGGGCCTGGGTCACCCCCTCCGACTGGACAAGACCCTTGTGTTTAGGGAAAAGCTGAGTGCAGAACAGTGTGTGCAGGATGATAAATTTTCATTTAAAAAAATTTTTTAAGAAACTTGAAAAACTATACAAGTGGATATGTCTAATTAAGTTGGATAGTTGGGGCTAGTGCCGTGGCTCACTTGGTTAATCCTCCGCCTGCGGCACCGGCATCCCATATGGGCGCCAGGTTCAAGTCCCGGCTGCTCCTCTTCCAGTCCTGCTCTCTGCTATGGCCCAGGAAGGCAGTGGTGGATGGCCCGGGTGCTTGGGCCCTGCACCCACATGGGAGACCAGGAGGAATAACCTGGCTCCTGGCTTCGGATTGCCGGCCGTAGTGGCCATTTGGGGAGTTGAACCAATGGAAGGAAGATCTTTCTCTCTGTCTCTCTCTCTCTCACTGTCTAACTCTATCTGTCAGATAGATAGATAAATAATAAGTTACAGGATGGAGTTGGCATTGTGGCACAGTGGGTTAGGCCACCGCTGCCCCAGCCTGCTGGCCCCTGTATTCCTTCTTTACTTCTCATTTGCTATGGTCCTCTGTTCTCCTTTGTATTGCAAAATGTCCTTAAAATTAAGGTAGGCCTTAGGTTAGGAGCTAGGTGAGACTATCCACACACACAAAAAGACATGAATGCCTATTATAATCCTACCTCAAGTCCAGCTCCTGGTGGACACTCTCGGTTGAATAAGCAAAGAGTGAATCCAGTAATGGATGAGTCGCAGCAGCCCCTAGCCCTAGGGAAAGCCTGCCCCAGCATTCACCACTCTTCAGTGTCGTCTGTTTCCTCTGGACATGTATGTCATGGAGGAGATAACACGGGTCTCAGGGATTCCTGAAAACCTCCATATTTTCACAGCTGACAACAGAGTTTCCCTGACACCTGTTGAATACCTTAGACCTTCTACTGAGGATCTAAAGAGGTGGTGATTCAGGAAGGGCCATGCAATGAGAGCTCAGGGTCTACAGCTCTCTGGGGCTGCCTGAAACACGATTTCCCAGTGTTCTATGGGTGCCTTGGATTCATCTACCAACAACTAACTCATTGTTCTTCCAACCACTGGATACGAGCTATCTTTTCTTCTTTCCACATGAGAATTTGTAGGGGTTCCTTGGTCCCACTAGCTACCAAATGTACATTAGAAGATTAATATCCTAGGAGGAGGCCAATGATAGCTGAGGAAGAAGGAAGCCCACTGCTGGGCCAGGGGTCCAGCCATCAAAGGGCTTCCCCAGCTCCAGTTGCCATGGAAAACCATCTAATGAAAAACACTTGCATCCTGAACTCATCACCAGAGAGTAATTAGAATGTAAGTAATGACAATATGTCAGTGATAGAATTTTTCCTAGCACAAGGAGTGTGATGAAAAGCACATCCCTGTTGGATAGTCACTCGCAATAGGTGTGGCTACAGTTTATCACACACCAAAACCCTGCAGCCTTTTCCAAAACCTACTGCTTTCCATGGACTCCCTCTGCAAACTCCCATTATATTGCATAAAAAATATACGACAATTAAGGCAATTTAAAATTTAAATGGGTTTTGGGCAAGTCGAGCGAAGTCTGTCATTTTTCTCACTGTGGGGTATGTGTAGGGTATTGGTTAGCATCTGTTCTCAGTAATTCCACCCATTCAATTGCAGCACATTTGGAAACAGCAGAAACAGGCAAGGCATTGTTTGATTCACAATTTATCTCTTCTATTTTTTTTCTTTCAGTAGCTATTCAGGATAAAAAAAAATTTCTAGACAAAAATGAGAATTTTACATTTTCCATTCTCATCTATAAAATGCTCCCAGCATTGAAAACCACATGACCCATGGCTGTAGCGTAGCCCTGCTGCTATGGACTATTCAGATACATAACACAGGGACCCTCTCCCTCACTAGGGATGGAGAGACTCTAATTGCACTAACTCATCAGAGCGATAGAGGCACCACCACACTGAATAATCCATAGAGAAAGAGTTTGATGTTTTTCCAAAATTCACTTATGTCCTCGTTCCTGGATTCATTCCACTGGTGTTTGCTGACCTCCTGACATCCTGTCAATGTCATGCGTACATAGTCTAGCCCAGGGAGGGCAGTGGAGCCTAGGGAAATACCTAAGTATGAAGTTGCTTCTTAAAGTCTATCACCAATCTCTTTGCCCAAGACCTGCACGACAGGTCACCAGTCTCATTCAATGACTCTGCCTAAGTAGTGCAATTGATGCTACAAGCTAACTTCTCATTCTTTTATCTCATTCTACCCAAGCACTGGGTCCCTGCCAGCATCACATTACATTTGTGAGAACTGCAAAGTGGCACCCTCAGAGGCAGCAGATTACATTTGTGAAAGCCTCCTTTTCTCAGGCTTTTGGCCCCCACCAGCCCCCTCCCCAGGCTTCTTTGAGTATGTGCTATCTGCCCATCATGTGGGGAGGGATGCTGGTCCCTCCCAATGTCACCCACTCACCCAGACTTCCCTGGAAAGTGTCACTCCCTGCATCTGCCATGTCCCTGGGACTGACACCATCCTCACCATTGTATCCACCCCTAGCTTGGCTGAGCCAACCCCTGGCATTACCAGTGGTACCACATCCCTTTCCTCTTTGGTGCAAAAATATTGCTGGCTTCCCAGACTTTGTCTAACAGGCATCTTGGGGCTGCTTACAAATATTCTCGGTGTCCTCCACCTTGCACGTGGAACTTCCAGCCTCAAAATGTCTTGGGGTTTAATAAATGCAAGGGATCTTGCTTCTTGAAGCAGCTTGCAGGATGCCACTTCACCCCAATCCTCTAGTTTTCCTAACTTTATTGATGGAAGGTAGGGCACCCCATCTCCAAACATGACAAAGCGTAATCCCAAACCCATTCACGCAGGAATTGGCCTGTCTGCCTCAGAGTGCTCGCTTGCTCAGAGCACAGACTTGCGCAGAATGAGGGAGGTTGGTGTTAGGAGTTCATGTCTCAGAACCCCTCTGACTTAACTCTCTGGAGCAACCCCACACCAGTCGTGTTGAAAGCATTTGCAAAGTGTATGTGAGGCCACAGGTTCTCCCAGTATCTCTGTAAGAGGGCATATATAAAATGTCTTTCCCTGGTGTCTGGGAAGAGCTAAGAGGCCTGTGGCTGGTTGTTAGAATGTGAAGTCCTTGAGGCCCAGGCAGAGGACAGAAAATGTCAGAGCCTGTGACTTTTTCAGGCAAGTCTTCATCTACCTGCCTGTGGCACAAGTGGCTCCAGCAGGGCCTGCCCATTCCTGATGATTCCAGGAGAGTTCAACTGTGCCAAGTCCATGGCTAGAGAGGACTGTCATTTGCATCATTCTCAGAGAGACTTTGCCACATTCCCGTTTGTTCACTGCAGGCTCACTGGCTTGCCACTGCCTACATCCTGACCAGTGCAGGGACTGAAGAAACAACAGAAGTGAGAAGTTTAAAAACCTATGAACTGACAGTAGTTTAAGACAACCCAATGCCCTGGGAAAGGAAGAGAGAGAGAGAGAGAGGAAGGGAGGAGGGCCATGTTGTATAGCAGCTGAGAAGGGAGGTGCCCACCAAAAACCAAGCTGGGAAAGACTCAGAAAACCAGTAAGCAGCCCTGAGGAGCCCTAACCTGGACACTCAAAGTGCATTCTAGAAATTTGAGAAAGCAAAATTAATATCCTTGAGCTGCAGACTGAATTTTAACACACACACACACACATACACACACACACACACACACTGAAAAATTCACCCCTAACAGGATGGGATTTGGAATTGGAGTCACTGCAGGTAATTAGATTAAAATGTTCTCACCACAGAGATCCCAAAGCATTTTTCTCTGTCTCTCTCTTTCCAGAGAAGAGGATCCTCACCAGAAATCAACTACACTGACACCTTGATCTTGGACAGCCAGCCTCCAGGCAGTGAGAACACAAAATTCTGTAGCTGAAGCCAGACTCAGTCTATGTATTTTGTTTTGGTACCCTGAGCTAACGCTCTTGATGTCTTTAGTTAAAAAATTCACTGTAAATTGAAAAAAAAGTTGATAATGGCTGAGAACCAAGTAAAGGACCCAAAGGACCAAGAGGTCATAGCCCAAAGCCAAAGTACAATGAGATAAAAATCCTACAGGAAAAGATAAGAGGTTGAGAAGAGCAATCGGGCTGTGATTCCCCTCAGCTCTCAGGGAAAGGCTGATGTCTTCAAATCTGCAAGATCTTGGGAAGTGTATATCAACATGCCCAGCCAAGGAAAGTGGGAAACACTCAACCAAATGCCTGTTGACTCTCTTCTGACACTTGAAAAGAAGATGAAGGGAGAGGAAATGGCAGTGAGCGATGCATGAACCACCCTATAGCTACGCTAGACGGACAGTGGTACCATGTCAGAGAGTGTTTC